TGTGGAGGTCAAAAGACGATTTGCAGAGTTTGTTAATGTCTTCTGATAAGTGAGTTCCGGGGCTTGAACTCAGGTCTTTCGTCTTGGCAACAAGCACCTCTACAGACTGAGCCAACTCACAGGCCCATCTCTGTCACTTCTATTCCTTTCCTTTGCATCACACACGCAAGTTCTGATCATATCTTCTCAGCCATTGTCTCCAGAGAGGACTATGCATGGTGCTGTGCAGGGTTCTAGGGCCCCCAACCAAGGACACAGGGAGACACTGCCTCTTCCCAGTTTGCATGGAGGCCAGCCAGTCACACCTGCTGCTACATCATGCTCTCCTAAGCTCCAGCCCTGGTTTTCTAGGTACTTATAAGGCAATCTCTCCAGGCATGCCTGTACCTCTGCCAAATCTAGAGACAGGAGGAGAAAGGGTATCAGTCACGGCGATGGACTACACAGTTTTAAGAACAGATTCTTGGCCACCTTACTGGTCCATTTCATCCTCTTTTCTACAGACTCAATCTTAGTACCACATTGCTACCTCTGGAGACCAACGCTAATACAGTTTGCTTAAGATTATGTCATCTTCCAGGTGTGGTGGAGCATGTCTTTAATTCCAGCACTCAGGAGGCAGAGGCAGGTGGATCTCTGTGAGTTCGAAGCCAGCCTGGTCTACAGAGTGAGTTCCAGAAGTTCACTGGAGTCAGTAAGGGAAGCGAAGAAGAGAATGTGAGATCTGGCAAAGCTACCCTAGTGAAGGAGGCTGGAGTGGAGAGCAGGGGCCATGGGAGTTCCTAGGATGTCTTCTCTCAGCTTCAGCACCCGGAGAGCCCTGGCAGGCAGGCAGATGCTCCTGAGCAGGAGGGTAGAGTTTTCCTCTTCCATTAATCCTAGGAAAGACCCCTCTGATGCAAACAACTGAGGTAATAATACTGAAAGTATCAGGGCATCCCCACCCTCCCACTCCAGGGGAGCGTGCCCAAATGGAGCCCTCAGGACCCCACCCAACTCTACCCTGCACAAGCTGCCCTAGGATTTTAAACAGGAGGATACTTCCAGAGAGTTCTGAGGGTCCGTCTTCAATGCTCTCTACCCCCGCCCCCCACGGCAACACCTGAAGATGCACATTTTGCCCAGGCTCTCTTCAGCTCATCTATAATTCCTGACCCTCTAGAACCCTACTTCACGTTATAGACAAGACATCCTGGTAGCCTAAGCTGGCTTCAAATTCCCAGTGTGTTTTGACCCCGATCCTTCCGCACCCATCGCTCAGGGCTTCCTGACAGCTGGTCCAGCATTGTACCGCCTCAGCTACACCCAGACATGTTTGTTTGTTGTTCGTTGTGTTAGACGGGGACTCAAACAGCCTAGACCAGCCTGAAATTCCAAAGCCCCTTGCCCTCACATCTTACAGGCGTGTGCCACCATGGCCAGCTCACCCTTTTCAGTAACCCGTTAAACCTGCGCCATGTACTGAGCTCCCCCTGCGAGTCCATTCTACACCAAACTCACTTTACCCAAAGTTCCACCTCATTGCTCCAGGTCTCAGACACCGCTCCCCCACACACACACTTCTCCCCCCCCACCTCCATACCCCCCACCAAAGCCCCTCCTGTAAGGGAGCCTGAATCTCCCTGTTCCTTTGACCACGAAGTCCCGTTTTCTCCAACACTTGAATCACTTAGTCCTTCAAGGAGAGGCTCGGGTTGGGTGTGGCGTCACCTGTAATCCCAGCACTCTGGAGGATCATACATTTGGGACCAGCCTGGGCTACAGTCTCTCAAAAAGGATAACTAATCTTAGAGCACACTCCTTTCATCCCCAGCACTCTAGGAGGCGTGAGACTGATCCCTGAGTTCCAGGCCAACCTGGACCACATAGCGCGTTCCAAGAAAGATGATGGAACCAGACTTGGACTGCAAGTGGAGACCCCACCACACAGACCTGGAAAGACATTCTGAACACCCTCGCGCCCCCCATACCCCCATCCTCCACCCCAGCTCCTCGGGGCTGGCGGGTGGGGGTGGTGGGATAGCCAGACTGATAACCATCTCTGGGCCAACTGACTCCAGACCCTCCCCGTCCTCTTTAATCCTCTAATCTCCCACCATCTAATCTGCACAGAGTATGGCTCTAGCCCTTAGTAGAGCGAGCCTGAGAATGCGGGGCGGCCCCTGCCCACCCCACAGTCACCACCGAGCTTTCTTCTAGTTAAACCTGCAGTTCAGGTCCCTCCCCTTCTGCGGGACAAGGGAATGCAGGGCCTGGGGGAGGGAGCCATTTCCTCCCCCCTTACCCCTCACCCCACCGCTCAACCTCCTCCTTTCTCCTCTTTGTTCTCAGCGCTTCTCGGCTGACCGCTCGCGCCCCTCCCTCTCCCCAGCCTGGCTCCACAGCTACTCCATTCCCTTCGCTACCTTGCCCCCACCCACAGCCCAGAGGCCCAGCCCTAGGAGTCTTGGAGCGAAACTATTCCCCCACGCCCCTCTCCCCAGCGCGCCTACTGTCTGGCTGAGTTTTAAGGCCGGATCGCAGAGGAATCCGGAAGTGCGGGGAAGGGGCAAGCTGGCACTGGACTCCTGAGGTCGGCATTTGCCCCGGTGCTGCAAGAGGTCAGGAATGCGACCATCTGCGTTAGCTAGGGAGATAAGGAGACGTGGCAGCTCTCCAGTACTAACGCAGACCTCCCCGGCACAGAGGGGCCTGCGCGTCACGGGTGGGGCAAGATCAGAGCAGGATCTACCCAGGGGCTTAGAGAAGAATTCTAGGGTCTGCAAGTCACGGAAAGAAAAGTCCCACAGTGGTCCTACGTGACTCGTGACTTGAGGATTCCCCAGTAAGAGTTCCGCCCTATGCCCTCCTGAGTGAGGCCTTACTCTGCAATAAGTAACTCCTATTTGTTCAGGAATGAGCGTTGTGGGGTCAACATTCCCATGCATCGGAAGATTAGACAGGCAGTTCTTTTTTTTTTTTTTCCTCTCCATAGAAGGGGGGGGGGGCGGGGGGACACAGGACGGGACCTGAAGTTCAGTTAAGTAACTTTCTGAGGTCACCCAACCAGCAAAGTACCCAAGTTGGTTAAGTTAAAGCCTAAAAAAAAAAAAAAAAATGTTGTCCACGGAACATTTCATCGGTACACTTCATTGTATGGTCCCATAAATTAGGGTAATTGTGGAACTCAGTGGGAGAGTTTGTAAAACTGAAAGCTCCTTTTACTGGCTGGAATCTCCAACCCCCAAAAGCCTTCATGCAAAGCCAGTGAGCATTCGTTTGTATGTTAGTTTGCATCCCATTTGCCTGGCTGTCTCTGGCCACACCCAGCCTTCCCAGCCAGCTCCCATGGGGTCTCCAGGGTTTTCCCATACGAAGGAGACAGGCTTAGAACAATTCATTCTCACCCTGCTTCCGCCTGATCTGCTGACCCGGGCTCTTCCTAGGGCCCCTTTCCCTCCCTGTTTTGCTTTTCTGTCTGCCCACACAGAGTCAGTTCAGCTGGTCGCTCGATAAGGATCAATAGGTCCACTCCAGAGCAAAGAGCACGGCCACATGTCTAACAAACACCAGGTCCTGCCGGAAAGACGGCTCCGGTGCTGGCTGACTTGAACCTCAGGTTTCTCCGTCTTCATTCAGCAGGAGTGGTCATGCAGCTGGTGGGGTGTTGCATATGTTTGGGGGTTTCTCCAGGGAACAAGCTGGAAAGCCCAGAGCATTATGAAGACTGACCAGGCAGGAAAGAAAGCCCAAGGAGGAAGGGGAGGGGGCCAGTGCCAGTAGATGGCACGGGGGTGGAAAATAGAGGGGCAGGCAATCTGGTTCAAACCCAGCCGGGTGATTCTAAGTATCCTGGTCTATCCTCTCAGACCCCAACCTATCCAGACATAGTATAGTCTGGAGGAGGGACAGTGGTCTTTTCCTCCACTGTTGCCATGGCTACTAGAAAGGCCTGACACACAGTAGGTGTCCAGCAAATACTGGTTAAATTAAAAATGCTCTTGGGCTGGTGGTGTACTCAGCTAATAGAGCACTTATGTCCAACAGGAGGCCTTGGGTTTGATCCTCTGCACTCCATACACTGAGTGTGAGATCTCATGTCTGTGATCCCAGTACTTGAAAAGTAGGGAGAGGAGAATCAGGAGCTGAAGGCCATCCTTGAAGGTTCATAGAAGGTTCAAGACCAGCCTGAGCTACATGAGACCCTGTCTCCAAAAAAGAGGGGTGGGGAAGCAGAAAGAAATAAGAGTAAACAGAACTGTGTCCAGACAGGGGGAGGGGCTGCTGCACACTCACAGAGGTCCCCCTCAAGCCCCCAGGGTGTTCAGAGACAGTCCAGGGACTGAGTGAGGAAATGTGAGAATATATATTTCCATATTTGAGAACATGTATTTCCATAGTTCCCTATGTGTGTTTGGGAACATGGGACCAGAGTGTGAAAACCAAGAGATCTGCTCTCAGGATCCTATTTCTCCTCCTCTTCATTGATTTATTGATTTATTTGTGTGCACTGGTGTTTTGCCTGCAAGCATGTCTTCTGTAGGAGGGTGTCAGGTACCCTGAAAACTGGAGTTACAGACAGTTGTGAGCCGCCCTGTGGATGCTGGGTATTGAACCCGGGTCCTCTTAGAAGAACAACCAGTGTTCTTAACCACTGAATCATCTCTCCAGCCCCCCCCCCCTCTTCCTCTTCTTGGGCCCCCAGCTTTTCTTCCCCAGGACTCCTGGGGCTCCAAGACTGTTCCCCGACTTAAGCTAAGGACACTACAAAAATCTTCGCCCTAGTGGACACCTCTTCTGTCTGTGGGAAAGGTGTTAAGAACTTCATTTCCTGCCCTAAAAGCAAAGGCTCACACCACCTGCCATCCCTGGTGCCTCTGATTAGGCACCCCCTTCCTGAGGCTGTGAGGGTGACTGAGAGCGTGTGCAGAGGCCAAGAAGGGCTGCGACCAGGTAGGTAGGTCACCGGAATCGCGCTCTTGGCGCCCGCGGCTCGGGTGGCAGGGCGGGGCCTCCAGGAGAGGTCCCCACCTCCTCTCTCAGCGATATAACAGGTCGAGGGCCGCCACCCTCCACGGCCGTCCGAACTCCTGTCTCGGTCTCTCGCTTCGCTCTCCTCTCCAGACAACATGAGCTTCACCACCCGCTCCACCACCTTTTCCACCAACTACCGGTCCCAGGGCTCCGTGCGGACGCCCAGCCAGCGGGTCCGTCCTGCCAGCAGCGCGGCCAGCGTCTATGCAGGTGCTGGGGGCTCCGGTTCCCGGATCTCCGTGTCCCGCGCCACAAGCGTCTGGGGTGGCTCCATGGGGTCTGCGGGCCTGGTTGGAATGGGTGGCATCCAGACCGAGAAGGAGACCATGCAAGAGCTGAACGACCGCCTGGCCAGCTACCTGGACAGGGTGAAGAGCCTGGAGACTGAGAATAGGAGACTGGAGAGCAAAATCCGGGAACATCTGGAGAAGAAGGGGTCCCAGGGCGTCAGAGACTGGGGCCACTATTTCAAGATCATCGAGGACCTGAGGGCTCAGGTAAAGGAGCACGGAGGGAGGGGCCCTCGCTCCCAGCCATTCCGGTCATCCTGCCCACCCCCCACCCCCCAAACTTGAATAGGGTGTTGGTGGTTGACGCGTTCCTCTTTCCACATCCATCCGTTTCCTCCCCTCTATGGGACGCAGTTAGGAATACTTTGGATTCTCACCCACAACCTAGGAATTCCAAGGGTGGTGGCTACACACGGAAGTTGGCTTTCCCCAAGGGGTGTAGTGGGAAGGGAACCGGATTGAGAGCCGCTCCAAAAAGGGCCATAAAGTGGACCCAGACACGGCTTTTTCAGTGGGGACAGTTACAGGGTTAAGCGGATGTAGCTAAGGCTGAGTCATCTAGAAGTAAACAGGAGCCTACCTGTGGGAGGGGCCAATCAAGGGAGTGGGGGGCCCAGAACAGGGAGTTAGCAGGTGCAGCGGGAGAAAGAGGATGGGGGAGAGAGCTTGTTAGAAGCGGCTCATTTGTAGGCAGGCCGGATAGGGCAGGCCCAGGCAGAGGGGCAAGGTGCCAGGATCGAAGAGTCCAGGAAGGGAGCCGGGGCACAGGTGGAACGGCAAGATGGGAGCGCTAGCCTCTGGCCGTTCCGAGGAGGAGGAGGGATTCACTGAAACAGAAGATGCGTCCTTCACACACGCACATTTGTCCTGGCCTCTCACGGCAACCCTCTGCTTTAATCCACCCAGATCTTTGCAAATTCTGTGGACAATGCCCGCATCGTCCTGCAGATCGACAATGCTCGTCTTGCTGCTGATGACTTCAGAGTCAAGTAAGTCTGGGGCTGCGGCTAGAGCTAAGAACAGTCTACTCCGGGGGCCGTGTTAGGATAGGGTTTCCTTGTTCAGGGTAGGGTGCACTGAGCGGTCATTTCACTGTTCATTTGTGCGGCCGCCAGGTTTCAGCACACTGCTCCTCACAGCCAAGAACAGTGCTGAGGGAATGGTACCTGGCTCAGGTGACTGGTTTGTGAGGGGACAAGGCTAGGCTAGGGATGTGGCACTGGCTGAGAAGCTTCTAGATGAGATGGGGAGCACTGATCACCTCCACTCCTCCAGGTATGAGACAGAACTGGCCATGCGCCAGTCTGTGGAGAACGACATCCACGGACTCCGAAAGGTAGTGGATGACACCAACATCACCAGGCTGCAGCTGGAGACAGAAATTGAAGCCCTCAAGGAGGAACTGCTGTTCATGAAGAAGAATCACGAGGAGGCAAGTGGAGCTACTGGCCAGGCCTGGGAGCCGAGACTAGATGGGCCAGGCTGCCCCCAAAAGGAACCTTGCATGGAAATTTAGAACCACCAGCCTGGGTTGTTAGCCTGTTTTGATTAAGAGCAAACCCAGGGGGTCACATGTTTCTATGGCTCACCCCAAGTTAGCCCTTGTATCTTGACCTCATAATAGTATAAGGCCTGGCTTGCAGCCCTGCTACCACTTGGAAAGTTGAGGCAGGAGGATTGAGTTCAATGCCAGCCTGTCTCACTGAGTGAGAGGAGATGGAGACAAAGGTAGGGATTGCCATTCTTAGGAGCTGATGGGCTGGTAGGGCTTCTGGAGGAAGTTTAAGGTAAGGTTTGTGAAGGGGGTATAAAATGAAGAGCAGAAATCATCTGTGAGTGGCAGGTTCGGGCAGTGAAGGAGTGGCATTCCTACCCATCTGGAGCAGAAGCCCAGATCAAGCCTTGCCAAGTGCAAGTCAGGGTTTCCTCCGCTCTCGTCTCCCGTTACGCTTATCATTGCCTTCTAGAAAAGACCATCAGTGATGAGTGGCTGGGTTGGAACTCTGACCTTACGTGCCCCCTCTTAGGCGCCCCCACCCTTGTTTCTGCCTTCTTCAGGAAGTCAAGGGACTGGAAGCCCAGATTGCCAGTTCCGGGCTGACCGTGGAGGTGGATGCCCCCAAATCTCAGGACCTCAGCAAGATCATGGCTGACATCCGGGCCCAGTATGAGGAGCTGGCTCAGAAGAATCGTGAGGAACTGGACAAGTACTGGTCCCAGCAGGTATGGCCCCAGCAAGAGGAAAGGCTGGTTGCCAGGGTGGGAGGGGGAGGCTGCCAAGGAAGGAGGGTCTTGACTGACCCTCCCCACCCTGCAGATTGAGGAGAGCACCACGGTAGTCACCACCCAGTCTGCTGAAATCAGAGATGCCGAGACCACACTCACGGACCTGAGGCGCACCTTCCAGGCCTTGGAGATTGACCTGGAAGCCATGAAAAATCAGGTGAGAGTCCCCCAGTCACCTGCTGCAGTTCCTCTGGACCCGACCTCTGACACATGGCCTCAGCCCCGACTGTCTTGTCCCTAATCCTCCTTCCCACATAATCAAGAGATCCCTAAACTGAATCACTTCTCTTTGTATTTCATTACACCTACACTGGAACCTAGGATTTGATAGACAAGTGGTCCTCATCCTGTCAGAGAATGAAGGGCTGAGCAGGCTAGGACTTGGGACTCACCCTCCCTTTTGTCTTTCTGTGCCCTGCAGAAGATCAGCTTGGAGAACAGCCTTAGGGATGTGGAGGCCCGATACAGCATGCAGATGGAGCAGCTTAATGGGGTCCTTCTACACCTGGAGTCAGAGCTGGCCCAAACCCGGGCAGAGGGGCAGCGCCAGACCAGGAATATGAAGCCCTGCTGAACATCAAGGTCAAGCTTGAGGCTGAGATTGCCACCTACCGCCGCTTGCTGGAAGATGGGGAAGACTTCAGGTGAGTGGTATCCTCCTAACCACACAAGTGAGGGTCTCTTCTCCACTTTTGGAACTTTGGGAAGTTCCAAGATGTTTGTTGGTGACCCCTGAGCAGTGGCTACAAAACAGTGAGTCACAGGTTCTATCTCATGAGAAAAAAATGACTTAAGTATTGTCCCTAGCTGTACTTGGGATAAAAGTTCAGCCTTGAGTTTCCCTTTTCTGGAAGAAATGGCTGGGGAAAGTTTGGATGTAAAGACAAGAGTCAGGGAAAGCTTGTTCTGAATTCCCACTCTCTACTCTGGGGCTGTTTATAACTAAGGCTTGGTCATCTGTTACAGTCTCAACGATGCCCTGGACTCCAGTAACTCCTTGCAGACTGTCCAGAGGACAACCACCCGAAAGGTCGTGGATGGCAAAGTGGTGTCCGAGACCAACGACACCAGAGTTCTGAGGCACTGAGGCTGACAAGGAGGCGACCCCTGGGGACTAAGGGACCAATAAAAGTTGAGAAGTCTCTGGACATCACTTTGTGTCTTCCTTGACAGTCTTCCTGCTTGTGCACGTGGGTGTTGAGTCTAAAGTCCCATCCTGGGTCAGACAGAAGTCTCTTGACCCTAGGGGTTTCACATGGATTGGCCATGGGAGAGGAAGGGTCTGGGTTTTTTGTTTGTTTTTTTTTTTTATGTTCATGGGTGCTTTGCCTGCATATATGTCTGTGTGAGGGTGTCAGATCTTGGAGTTACAGACAGTTGTGAGCTGCCATGTGGATGCTGGGAATTGAACCCAGGTCCTCTGGAAGAGCAGTCAGTGCTCTTAACCGCTGAGCGGTCTCTCCAGCCCCAAGTCTGGGTTCTTTTTCTTTTTTTTTTTTGGTTTTTTGAGACAGGGTTTCTCTGTGTAGCTTTGCGCCTCTCCTGGAACTCACGAGTCTGGGTTCTTAAAACACCTAAAAGCAGATGAAGTAGGAGATATGACTGTCCTAGGTACAGGTGAAAGTAGAGTAAAGCTGTGGAATCTCCCACTCCAGAGACCTGGTGTAGAAGCCAGGCATGGTGCTGTGCACATAAGATCATGATTTAGGTTCGAGGCCAGTCTGGGTTATATAGCAAGTTCCAGGGCAGCCTACATCACATGCCAATGTCCCGATAAAACAAACAAAACAACAGCTGGGTGTGGGGGTGCACTTCTAAAATCCCAGAGATCAGTAGTGTCAAGAGGACCAGGAATTCAAGGTCATCATCTGCTACACAGCAAATCTGCAGCTAACCTTGGCTATTTGAGACCTTGTCTCAAAAAAGGGGCCTAGTGAGGAACTTGGTAAACCCAAGCATGGTGGGCGTGTGGTGGCTCAGGTCTGTAACGCCACTACTCTGGAGGCTAAAGTAGGAAGATTACCCTGAGTTCAAGACCAGTATGGTTACAAAGTAAGGCCTTGTCTCCCTCTCTTGAACAGCTGCCTAAGCTATAGTGTGGAGCACAAAGTTACATAACCCAGATATTCAAGTAGAAATATCTTGGTCCCTCGTAGCTTTGCTTTAGCAAAAGGCTGCAGTCCATGTCCATGTGTACTTTTGCACTCGTGAGCATGTCTGTGGATTAAGTTAGCAAAAATGGGACCATCTACGCACATACGAAGGGCTAGGCTTCAGGATGTACATAGTGCATAAAATACCTGCTAGTTTTCCCTCACAAAGCTCACAGCTAGAGAGAGACCAAAGACACAGACATTTCTACTCGTTCTTTCAACAAGTGCTGAGCACCCATTACGAGCACCAACCATTCTGCTTGGCGCTTGGGATACCACAGACAGAACCCTTATTATTACTGTGGAAATTACGTTATGGTGATGGGAAAGAACAAAAGCCAATAAAGAAGATAAGAAGCCAAATTACTTGGCACTTCAGAGGTGGTTGAGCCGGGTGGTGGTGGCACACGCCTTTGATCCCAGCACTCGGGAGGCAGAGCCAGGCGGATCTCTGTGAGTTCGAGGCCAGCCTGGTCTGCAAGGCGAGATCCAGGACAGGCTCCAAAACTCCACAGAGAAACTCTGTCTCTAAATAAATAAATAAACAAACAAATAAATAAAAAGATGCGCAGAGGCGGTTGAGCATTACAGGCTGGAGAGAAGCAGCCCCAGAGCCTTGGAAGTGGAGTGTCAGGAAAAGGGGAGAGTAGTGGTCACAACTGAAGGGAAAACTGTTTGCCTGAGAAGAGCAGTGTGTTCAGGGTGTCCTGAGTGGTAAAGCCCTTTGAGGCCTTTGCTTCTTGAAACCTAGAGGACAGCTCAGAAAACCCCTGGCATGAGCCCCCAGGACAGGTACACACTAGTGGGGCCCTGAGACCAGAAGAGTCAGGGGAGGATGTTCAGTGGACGGAGACAGGGCGGCCCTTGCTGAGCAAGGTCCGAGTTACACAAGAGTAACTGGAAGTTTCTGTGGGAAGAGCCCCTGCCATCAGACTTCCAGAGAAAACATTCTACTTAAGAGCAAGGAAAGATGACTCATAACTCTTTACACCTGCCTCCCCTGAGTAAACACAGCAGTCAATCATTTGACCCACTGATCCCTTCCATTCCCCCCACCCCACCCCAGCCATTGCTTTGTCCTCTCACCCCTGCAGGGGTCTGCAGGGGACAGAACTGCAGGAGAGGTGGCTGAGCTATACTCTCCGAGATCTGTGTGGGAAGAGCAGTTGAGATGGTTTCCTTGCCCCTCCCTCTTTACTGTCTTCTACATATGCAGGTATGACATTGAATGTGTTTTCTCAAACCAGGTGCCAACCTGCCAAAACTAAACAGAAAGTCCCTGGCAGAGCCTGAGTGGTGTTTGCAGCTGAATCCAGCTGGTCCGAGAAACCCGAGACGAGGCACCTGATATGATTATCCCTCCCCACACAGACAAGGCTTCAGAGTTCCCAGGGCTCTTACCATCTGATCCTCATTACAATCCTGTGAGGTATGCGAGGCAGCGGCTGTTATTGGCTCTGGATCAGAGTTTGGACACTGAAGTCCACAGACATCACATGACCCATCAATCCCCTGTGTTTTCAGAGATAGGAGCTTGAGGCAAGAGTGAAGTCACGTCTCCATGTTCTTTCTGGAGTGCGTCTACCTTGATGTTGTTTCTGTTTTGTTTTGTTGGGTGGGTGGATTTGGGTGTGTGTGTGTGTGTGTGTGTTTGTGTGGTGTTTGGCTTTACAATCTCTCTGTGTAGCCCTACTTGGCCCTTGGATTTGCTGTGACCCTCCAGTTCCTGCTTCCTTCCTGCCGAGATTGTGTGCTGGGATGGTGTCACACACCATGACCCCTGGATGGTGTACCCTGACTTAATGGCAGACTGAGCAGGTTCAAGCAGAGAACCCTACAACACACTCCTGAGGCTTGAGTCCTCAGACTCGGAGATTCTAACTCAGTTGTTCACGGGTGAGGCCCCAGGGCTCAAGGGAAATATTTGAAAATCTCCCTTGGTGATCCTAACAGGCAGCCCAGATTAAGAGGCAGGCCCATGTGGTCCCTAGGGTCTGTATCCTGGCATTCTTTCCTGCTGCAGGTCAAGCTGTGCCTCTTCTAATTAAATGACACCCTGCTGCAGAAGCCCAAGGCCACTTGGCAATTCCCCTCATTCCCCAGCAGGGAAAGGCAGCTGCCTGCGGGGCAGCCCATTTTGTCCCTAGAGCATCTAAAGGGGACAATGACGGTGGAGAGTCACCTGTCCTAAACTGTACGTGTCCCATTCCACCCAGCCCAGGTAATAAACTGAAAACTACAGGCAGCATGTATCATATGATGTCCCTTGGGCAACAATAAAAACATAGTTAAGTGAATTCATATGTATATGTAAAGATCTCCCAAAGGATACCCAAAGAAACTGGAATTAACAGTTGCATTTGAGGGGAGATTTGGTGTAGGAAGTAATGGGGGGGAAGCTTGTTTCCAAATCTGTGTCTGCCAACATCTTCCAAATCAGTTATTACTAATACAAATTTGTTTTGTTTTGTTTTGTTTTGTGTTTTGAGACAGGGTTTCCTTGTGTAATAGTCTTGGCTATCTTGGAACTCATTGTGTAGACCAGGTTAGCCTTGAACTCACAGAGATCAGGCTGCCTCTGCCTTCTGAATGCTGGGATTAAAAGCATGCACCACCACACCTGACTTCTAATACAATTTTTTTTAAAGATGGGGTCGGGTGTAGAGTTTTCTGCACATATATATTGCTGTGGGATGGTCTGTATGTCAAGTGTGTTGCTGATTGGTCAATAAATAAATCACTGATTAGCCAGTGGCCAGGCAGGAAGTATAGGCGGGACAAGGAGGAGAATAAAGCTGACAAGTGGAAGGCTGAGTCAGAGACACTGCCAGCCGCCATGATGACAAACAGCATGTGAAGATGCCAAACAGCATGTGAAGATGCTGGTAAGCCACGAGCCACGTGGCAAGGTATAGATTTATAGAAATGGATTAATTTAAGCTGTAAGAACAGCTAGCAAGAAGCCTGCCATGGCCATACAGTTTGTAAGCAATATAAATCTCTGTGTTTACTTGGTTGGGTCTGAGTAGCTGTGGGACTGGCGGGTGACAGAGATTTGTCCTGACTGTGGACAAGGCAGGAAAACTCTAGCTACAATATATTATATGTAATACATATATAGTTCATATAATACACACATACACATAAAGATACTAAGCTGGGTATAGTGGTGTTTGCCTTTAATCCCAGCACTTAAGAGACAGAAGCAAAGATCTCTGTGAGCTCCAGCCCATCCTGGTTTACATCATGAGACCCTGTCTCAAAACAAACAAACAAACAAAAGTACTACTGGGCCTAGGGACTGCTACATGCTAGGTAAACAATATACCACTGAGCTACATCACCAATTCTCCCCCCTCCCACCCGCGCCCATTTTAATTTGAGCTGGGGTCTTGCTTAAGTTACTCAGGCCGGTCTTGAACTTACCCTGTAACCCAGGCAAGCCTTGAATTTGTGGTCTTCCTGCCTTAGCCCCCTAAACAGCTCCCAAAGCCAGCCATGCCAAATCTTATAACCATATATATATAGTCTATATGTATAGTTATTACAGAGCTCGCATCCTAGCAGATAGGGATACAATACAAGATAAAAGAAATGAATAAATTGTATAGTATGTCAGAAAGGTAAGTATTGTGAAGAGAAAGTGGAGCAAGACTGGGAAGTCAGGCGCTGTGGGTGACATCAGTTTGCTGCCACTGTAAACATTTGCCCCAAAGCCAGGTGTGGCACCGCCACACCTGTAATCCCAACATTCAGGAGGCAGAGTCAGGAGGATGGCTGCAAGTCTGAAACCCACCTGGAACACACAGTAAGTTCCAGGCCTGCCAGGGTTACATAGCAAGGATTGTTTCAAAAACATAGAAAATGAACCACAAACAAACCAACCAAAAAACTTACCATAAAAGTGGTGGCTTAAGTTGGGCAGTGATAGCACACACCTTTGATCCCACCATTTGGGAGGCAGAGGCAGGTGGATCTCTGTGAGTTCGAGGTCAGC